CAGGCACCAGGCAACCAAGCACATGCTTGGGGTGGCACCTGGTAAGGGGCGGCCAACCTTGGGGTGGCGGGGGGCAGCGCAGCGTGGCACGGCATTCCGCGGGGGGGCGGGGGCGCTCCAGCGGCGCGGCGCTCGGCGGGGGGGGGGGGGCGGGGCGCGGCGCGCGGGGGGGGGGGGGGGGGGGGGGGGGGGGGCCCGGGGGGGGGGGGGGGGGGGGGGGGGGGGGGGGCTCGGGGGGCAGCAAAAAAGTTAGAGCCGGCCCTGACCCCAACCCCAATTTTGTGAGCATTCGTGGCCCGCCATACAATTTCTATTCCCCGATGTGGCCCTCAGGCCAAAAAGTTTCCCACCCCTATCTACTGGGTAACAAAGTGGAGTAGTTAACAGTGATTTCAAACTTTCCTCTGCCCTAGATAAGAGATTGGAGTAGACTAGCAAGGCAGCAGCTTCAAAGTTGCAGAGATCTATATATGTTACAACATGTGTCAGCCCCACACATCTGCTAGCAGTGTGGTAGGACATCTTGTAGATGGTGTGGCCTAAACAACATAACTAGAACATGTTTCTTCTACCTGTTGGAGGATCTCTGGCAAAGCAGGTGTGGGACAAGGAAGCTTATGCTGAAATCAGAGAAAGCTTTTTAGAGCTTGCAGATAGAGAGCAGTGTCACAGCACAGAGTGGTGGTCCCAATAGCACATTGCTTTGATGCATTAGGATGTGGAGAGTGAATTGATGGTCACAAAATCTAAAGTCCTATCCTCAGATCAGTAGAGGCTCTGCAAAGTGAAAACGGTAGCAAAACAGGTGACAGCAAAGAACGTGTGTGTTTTAGGGATCTTCGGAGAGAAGGAAGATACAGAGACCTCAAGTTTTATAGTTTTATTTCTATATTGGGGTGGGGGGGGGAGCTCCAGCCAGGCCAACAGGGCTATACATAGGGGCAAATTACATGCCTGCCCGAGTCTTGCAGTTTGAGGGGGGCTACACCCATCATGTCCCCCCCAAACTATGCCCCTTCTTAAGACTCCTGATTCAGATACTGGACATACACAAAAACAGGAGGATAATCATGGAAGTTAGACAATTGAGGCCTGATCTAACTTACAAATTAAATCAATCTAGGTTTTTCACACTCAGGGCTGTGAAAAATTTCCTCGATCTAGCTACTGCTTCGCAGGGAGGTGGAATAACTACAACAGAAAACCCCCTTCCATCGATGTAGGTGGTGTCTATGCAACAGTAGCACAGCTGAAGTAGCTGTAGCATAGACATGGCCTGAGTCAGTCTCCTCAATGGAAGGATTGTCTATGATTGTGGTTGTCAAATGAAAACTGCTCTTCTGAGTCAATGTGTGGGTAGTACATACCAAAACTAAAGCTTAGTTTTTTTGTAGTTCTAAGTCAGCAAACCAGCTGTTGGAAAAAAAGTAGAATATAAACTAGGTAACAATTTGTGAACAATTTGAATATAAAGTAGGTCACAATTTGTGAACAATTTGTAATGAGTTTGGTTTATAGAGCTGGAAAGAGCCAGTTTTAATCTAGTTGATTTGGTGCCATATTCGTTCCAAGATTAGAAATAGAATAAGGAGGAGCTTCAGCGGTCATCAGTTGCTGTAAAGTCTGTTTTTACTATTATTACTGAAGGATGAAAGATGTAATTACACCTCTACCCCGATATAACGCTGTCCTCGGGAGCCAAAAAATCTTACCACGTTATAACCGCATTATATCGAACTTGCTTTGATCCGCTGGAGTGCGCAGCCCCACTCCCCCGGAGCACTTCTTTACCGCGTTATATCCAAATTCGTGTTATATCGGGTCACGTTATATCGGGGTAGAGGTGTATTAGAAACGGAACTCTAACCTTCTCCAGTCCCTCCATGTGGTTTGAATGAAACAAATTAGAAAGAAAGGCCAGTATTTAGTGCCACATGGCTGTAGTGTAAACACTATTGACTAGACAATTTTTGCAAGGCTGGTATAAAACTGGGCAGTTAAATTGGAGGCTAAATGACATTGGCACATAAGAATATTTTGAATTTTTTTGTTGGAATGTGGTGTGTACAATCTAATGAATAAGCCGTCACTTTATTAAAAATTTACTATCCTCCTCTCTCTGTATGCATTAGCACATGTGTGTATAGGTATATTTTTTCTCATTCTGTGCACACATTTGTTTTAATAAAACAGAAAAATGTCAGATGACTATGCGGGAAGCCTTTATAAAAATGAGCAGGCTGAAGTTTTTGCCAGCCAGAAGCTACATTTGAATAAATTTAAGTCATGAATGAAGGATGTTTGGACTATCCATCAGCATAGCATTAGCTATGTAATCTCATCACTAAGGTAAAAATAGGGAAACATGATTAGATTCCCCAACTCTTAAGTTATTTCTCATTTTCATTATCATACAGTCATAATTTTTGTGCCAGCTTAGAACTTGACAGAGTAGTCACTTCACAAAAAAGAATTTAGCTAATTTATTGATATAGTCAATTTCTGTCTTAAAACTATGTGATTAATGGGAATATCATTTGATCAAAACACCCAGTTTAGCCTTTTGACATAGGTAAATGAACAAAAGTATTTTAACATTAATTATCTACAGTGGAGTTAAATGTTTACGTGATTAGTTTTGATTTAGAAAGTTCACACTGAATAATTGCTTCCAATAACAAAATTGAATGTAATTTTCATTCATTCTAAACATGGTGTAAAGTTAAAATTACTCTGCTATAATTTATCCTTTATCTTCACAATTTTTTTTCTCATACACATAAGTGAAAACTTTCCATATATTTTTACCCAGCTACAATCCACACCCATAATGTGGTGATTCCTAGAATGACAAAACTGCATAATGTTCCAGCTTTTGTCATCTAAACCAATGCTTTTAGACCTCCCTTATTTTTTACTTAGTATTTCTTTGAAATGAGCATACAAGGAGAATTAAAAGTTTTCTGCTATATCTAGCAGGTCTGTGATTTTGCAAATAGAGCTAGAGCTAAAAATATAAAATTAGATTTTTCTTCACTGTACTCCCTAAGGATTCCAATTTTTTTGATAAGTGTTTTTATTTCCCCAGACTAGGTTACTTTTTCATTGGAGGCAAATTTCTGAAATCCATATGCTATCAGAACCATATGTACTACTTGCCTTAAATTGTAGAAGGAAAATATGCAGAAATTTGTAAGAAAAACATTTTGAGGAGGAATTTGCAAGGAACCTATTATTGGAGACATTTGAAAATTTTGCTATTGTTCTAAGAGTTCATTCATTAGTAATATATTTTCTGTGTAATCTTAGATTACACTCCTTCTCTCCCCAAGAATAGGGATCTGATAAATGCAAATAAGAATAATTGAGTTAGAGATAAAAAGATTATGGACGTTTACACTCAAAGTGTAAAAATTAAAAACAAATGCTTTAAACACAAGGGAAGATGTCAAACTTTAGTATTAGGGCCCTACCAAATTCACGGCCATGAAAAATCCATCACAGACCGTGAAATCTGATCTTCCGCATGAAATCTGGCTGTTGTAGGGGAGACCAGATTTCAGAGCTGAATAGCTGTCGAGTGAAAGCTGCTGGCTGGGCGCCCAGCTCAGTGGCAGCGTATGCTAATGATACACCCTTATTTCTGTGCTGCTGCTGGAGGCAGCACTGCCTTCTGAGCTGGGCGCCCAGCCAGCAGCTGCCCAGCTCTTAAGGCAGCAGTGCAGAAGTAAGGGTGGCAATACCACAACCCCCGTACACTAACCTTGTGACTCGCTTCCGGGTCCATACCCCCAGGGTTACAACACCATGAAATTTACTATTTAAATATCTGAAACCGTGAAATTTACAGTTTTTAAAATCCCATGTGAAATTGACCAAAATGGACCATGAATTTGGTAGGGCCCTATTTATTATGCTCCAAGTTACAAATAGTTTTTGTAGTCATTTATAAGTACACCTCTACCCCATATAATGCGCCCTGATATAACACAGGTTCGCATACAACGCAGTAAAGCAGCGTTCTGGGGGCCGGGGCTGCGCGCTCCAGCGGATCAGCATGTCAACATGACTGGCTCCGACACACTGTTCTGAGCGGCATGTTAAGGGTGCCGGCCAAAGCTGAGGGGTTGGATAAGGGGCAGAGGGTCTTGGGGGGCAGTTAGGGGACAGGGAGCACGGGGGGTTGGATGGTTCGGAGGTTCTGGGGGGGGCGGTCAGGGGACAGGGAACGGGGGCGTTGGAGTCCCGGGGGGCCTGTTGGGGCAGGGGTGTGGATAGGGGTCGAGAAAGTCAGGGGACAAGGAGCAGGGGGGCTTAGATAGGGGGTGGGGTCTTGGTAGGAGTGGTTGGGGTGGAGGGGTCTCTGGTGGGGGTGGTCAGGGACAAGGAGCAGGGGGGGTTAGATGGGTCGGGGGTTCTGAGGGGTCAGTCAGGGGGCAGGAAGTAGGTGGGGGTTGGATAGGGGGCAGGGCCAGGCTGTTTGGGGAGGCACAGCCTTCCCTACCCGGCCCTCCATACAATTTTGAACCCCAATGTGGCCCTCGGGCCAAAAAATTTGCCCACCCATGCATTAGGCGTTCTCATCTCTCCCGCCTATTTTAATCTCGTTTCTAAATTGCGTGCAGTATAGACTAAACTTAAGTTGTCTCACTAGCTGTATTTTGGAAACGTAACTCTGTGCTGACATTTTCTAAACAAAACAAAAAAATGGTTTGCATTAATACAGTATTAAAATACCATTGACATCATGGCAAGTAGTTCACAGCCACGGAAACGAAAGGCATGGACAGTCAAAGAAAAATTGGAAGCTTTGGACAGACTGAAATCAGGAATGAGCCAAGCAAAGGTCTCAAAAGAACTAGGAGTGGGGGAATCAACATTAAGAGGGTGGATCAAAGATGAGGAAAAATTACGATCAATGTTAGTTGAACTGGATGAAAGCGAAGGCCTTGAAGTGCCTAAAAACTGCCCAGGATAACCAACTAGATAGAGCAGTATTTATGTGGTTTACCCAAGAACACTCTGAAGGCACGCTGATTTCCAGTGACATTATAAGGAAACAAGCGAAAAAATTGAAGAAGGATCTTGATTTTAGACGCTCGGGCGAGGACACTTCTGCACATCAAGGTAACGAATTTAAAGCTAGCAGTGGATGGCTTAATCATTTTTTAAAATGTCATGGCATTTGGCAAGTCGCAATTTCAGGAGAGACATGCTCCGCAGATATAAAAGCTTGCGATGAATACCCGCTAAAGTTACAAGAGATCATCATCAAGGGTGGCTATGCTCCAGAGCAAATCTATAACGCTGATGAAACTGGCTTATGTTACCGTATGCTGCCGGATAGAACACTTGCTTCTAGGACCGAAGAACAAAAGGCCAAAGGTATTAAGGTGATAAAAGAGAGAGTGACAATACTTTTCTGTGTGAATAAAACCAGTTTACATAAACTTAAACCTCTGTGCATAGGCAAATCCAGGTCACCTAGGGCTTTCCACCATAAGAACATGGATTCGCTTTCATTCATTCATCGCCATTCAAAAAATGCCTGGATGACATCAGATATTTTCGAGGAATGGTTTAAGAAATATTTTGTACCAGCTGTCCGGAACCACCTACGCAGACAAAACCTGGAGCCAAAGGCATTGCTCCTACTTGACAACTGTCCCGCCCACCCCCCAGTTGAGACCTTAACCAGCAAAGACGGGAAGATAAAGATGAGCTACCTTTCTAAGAACACGACGTCCAAAATACAGCCCCTTGATCAAGGCATTATAGCCACATTTAAAATGAATTATCATAAAGCCTTAGTAAATAAATTGAATTTGCTGGATGTATTTAACTTAGGCGAGACAGCCTGGCTAGGAATCACTCCGTCAACGATAGAGAAATGTTGGCATCGTGGTCTCAAAAGTGCTTTTGTCACTGAAAGCGATGACAACCAAGATAAGGAAGAAGACGAAGATGAGAACAACTTTGAAGGTTTTATGGAAGAAGAGGCCATGGAGGCAGAACGAGTCTACAGGGAACTTATGGCTCAAAGTGGGATAGCTGTTGTTCAAGAGTGGATGGAAGTGGATGCTATATGTCCAACCTATGAACGACTTACAGATGTAGATATAATTCATAACGTTGCCCCTCAACCACCTGGTGCCTCAGAAAGTGTGTCTAACCCTGAGGATAGTGACGAAGAACCCTTGGAGCCACCGCCCAAAGCTGCTGATGCGGTTGTAGGGTTAGAGATTGGTCTTAAGTGGCTAGAAAGCCAGGATGTGGATAGACTGCAAATACTGCAGATAAAATCCATAATTGACCTGGCGAAGGCGGCGGCTCGCAGTAGCATGAAGCAACAAAGTATAACAATTTTTTTTTTAAATTAAAAAAAAATGTTAAGGGGTGCATCTTAAATAAGAAAGCATCTTGTACCCCCCAAAAGTTTTCAAACTACAGTGTATTTAATAGTTAACAGTTCATATTACGTAACAATCTACGTATAACGTAGTTGGCTAAGTGACAAAGTGGCCCATGCTCCTATTTGCTAAAATACCAAAATCCGTTTTTACAACAATTTGCAAGGATTTGTAATTAAAAGTATTTTCTGATATTTTATATGAATTTTTCATTTTCCTAAGCATTACATGCAGACCAAACGATTGATGTATGATGAAACCTAGCCCACATGATTACATTTAGCAGTGTTTAGTACCTGTGTTGTTAATACACTGTATCTTTTAAGTAAGCTTATAAAATAATTGTTGTAATTAAAGAGAGGAGATACAATTTAACCATTGTAGAACAGATTTATTTACTGCATACACTGTGTTAGTTTTAACAAAAATGATTTGCTGACTACTAATAATGGAAATGCTCGAGGGCAAAGCAAGTTTGATATAACGCAGTTTCACCTATAACACGGTAAGATTTTTTGGCTCCCGAGGCAACGTTATATCGGGGTAGAGGTGTAGTGTGCAGATTGTCATTGACGCAGGCTGGGATTAAGCTTCCTGTGGACTAGAGTTGATGGCAGGAAACCAAAAGCAGAATTTTTTTTTAATTGGTATTTGGAGCCTCAAGCCAGTATTTCTAAATATGAGGGGGGGAAAATCTGATTGCTCATTTTATTGTTACCAAAGCCATTATTAGAAGTGACCTGCAATGGAAAAAACGGTTCCAGTTAGTGCCTCTCTTCTTGACACATAAAGACCCGAAAAGGTTTTCAAAACTTTTAAATTGCAGCAAGGGTGGTTTAGGTTGGACATTAGGAAAAACTTTCAAACTGTCGGAGTGGTTAAGCACTGGAATAAATTGCCTAGGGATGTGGTAGAATCTCTATCATTGAGGATTTTTAAAGAGCGGGTTGGACAAACACCGGTCACGGATGGTCTAGATAATACTTAATCCTGTCTTGAGTGCAGGGGACTTGGCTAGATGACCTATAATTCTATGAAAATAATAGTGCTTTAGTTTATCTTGGAAATCGTAGGATTAAAGCCCATTCTTCTCTGTTTTGGCTAGAAGTCATGGTGGAGGACCTAGAGAAGTGGATTGTGCATTCAGCCCTTAATTAAAGGGACAGATGTGGTTAATTTTTAACTAGGACACCTGTTCTTCCACTTTCGGTGGTTTAGTTTTTTGTTTTGTTTTTACAGTGGTCTCTGTTCACATTACATACTGCTGACTTATTTCCTCCTATCCAATTCAGCATCTTGACCTGTCTCTGACCCTCCCTAGATATCTTCGTCAAACTTCATCTGGTACAAAACTTCTCACCTTTCCTTCCAAACCCTCTCCCTCTTCTCTTGCTGTTAATGCCGTCATCTTCCTTATCACACAACATGGGTGTCATGTAACACTCCATTCTTCTTACCCTACAGACCCAGGACCTGGCCACATCCTTCTGGTTACTACTTCTTCCTCCACAGCATTTTCAAAGTCCTATTCTTGTTTAAGCTTTCATTTCCTTCCACCTTTTTCTCTCCCCTATAGTCACTTGTTACTTCCCAACTTGAAATCAGTGTGTAAGTTTGTTAGACAACAACTGACTCTTACAACATATTTATACAGTGCCTACTACAAGCTTGATTGTGCCATCTAGACACTATCACAGTATGAATAATAGTTATTTCCCTTGAATAATTAGGTTTCACTTCCTAGCTACTCATTCTTCAAGAGAAGGGACCATCCCTACCTCTGTAATTGTACAGTACTCAATACCATGGGACCCCCCTTGTGATTGGGGCCTCAGAACTACTGTAAGTAACTGCCAATAATAAACCTATTAGTTCTGCAGTGGTCCATAGTTTCTCTAGACAAGCAAGGTCTGAATTTCTATTAAAAAAGAAAGTACTTTAGAAACATTATTTCAGGCCTTTATACACTATGCAGAAGCCAGATTCTCTCCCCCCCCCCATTCCTCCCATTTACATGACATCTTTGAAGAACAGATTCTGATCCTTCTACAGCATTCAACACGTGTAAGTTTTTCAATGCGACTCAACCAACCAGAACATTTAGAAGAACAAATATCTAGAAGAGGTGTAGTGATGGATGTGGAAGGTTTTCTGTCCTGTCCCCTATTCCACAGAGTTACGTTACCCAGGGAACAGAACTACAAGCACTGTCTAGGCAGGCAGTGATCATATAGTGTTTTGAGGTGAGCAGAAGTAACTTTCATCTGCTTAATTCTCCGTGTTTTTTCTTTAGATTGCCCTACAGGGACAGGTTAAACAACTTGAGCACCTGAGGGTGGTTTAATCAAATCCTAATACTTACTGGAAGGGCTTTTATATGCAGTAACTTGAGCCACCCTCAAAGAATTGGAGAAGTCATGCTTTCTTCCACTCTGCCAAGCAGATTTTTTTGGCAACAGAAATCCAGCTAATGGTGGGACAGGAGTCAAGAGTTTATATGAAATTTAACAAGAGAACACACAGGCCATTATACCCAGAGCTCAAGGTAATCCAACATATGTATCAGCTAGTCAGAAGTAATCTTTGTTGGATATTAAGATTAGAACCAGTGATAACTTCTCCATGGGGGGGAAAATAAACTGACTTGATAACCGAGGTCCATAGTGCACTGACGTAAATTGAGAACCTACCATTTTCTTTAAGAACAATAGCTATTTAAGAATTAACTTTGTTGGTATACTTTTCCGTAAGGATCCCACATGGGGATGACTGTAAAGAAGCAGATTAGGTCTATTGAGTTGCTGACTGAGCAAATTTCTTGGAGTGCTGGGTGAGAAAAAGCCATGAAGTCTTGTATGGAGAAAACTCCATCTGCTCAGGTTTCAGCAGATAATCTAAACATTCTGCACTACCAACATAAAAAAGGCAAGACATAACATTTATTCAGACTTCTGGAATGGTTCACCATCTAAAAAAACCCCAATGTCTGAGGACATATATATATAGACCTCTCATGAAGGCAATATTTCTCATGACAATAATATTTAATGAGTTGGTGGCAGAGATTATTCATTAAGCAATTTTCACTGGGCATCTTGTGCCACTGAAAAATCTGTAGCGTTAAGCCATATCACCAGCATGATTAGCATGCCCAAGGCCCTATTTTATGTGGTGTTTGTTTCCTCTTATAACTAGCAGGAAAGAATGAACTATCATTTTTCATGTTACAGAATAATCAGGACTCTGGTACTCCACATAAAGATTTTTTGCATTTAATCATTACATATATTATCAAGGCTTTCAGTTCAGTAACAAAAGATCTTAATCATGTAAAGTCAGTATAGTATATTTATCTGTTGATAAGTTAAGCCATTTCCTTACACTCAGTTCAACTCTTCATGTCTTAGTTCACATTTTTTCCTTTTATGGCTGGATAAATCCTTTATTTCTTTCATCTTCAAAGTAGTTTGCCATGTGTTTTGACAGAAGGAAATAAGGATTCAAAATGACAACTGTTTAAAAAAGTTTATTACATTGAGGAACTTATTAGCAAGTAGTACTTATTTCAAAACAAAGCAGCTGCACCATTCCTTTTTCCTTAATTATCTAAATTCAGCCCATCAATTGTAGTAAAAACTGCACTAACAATGTGGTACGAAGATTTAATGGAGTACATTAAACTTACGCAATTTGAGGAAGATTCAAAAAAAGTCAATGATCAAAATAGGATAAAGGTATATAGACATATTTAGCTCTTATACCTAAAAATGAAGCCAAATACCCTATACTTTTGCTTTGCATTTTGCTATTAATATGCTTAAAGGTTGTAAAATATTCAAACAGAACACCTTACAACCTTATAAAAATTTTGTATTGCTTTAACAAGATCTACAACCTACCTTTCAACATATTGTTAATGCACTTCCATCTTAATTCAGTTTCCCTTAACATACAAGGCAGTTTTAATTGGATTTATGTAAATAGGATTCAAATATATTCCATCGTAAATCTAGTGTATTATAGAAATCCTTGACAGTTCCATGTACCTGTTACATTTCCATCCATCAGTTGATTTTCAGGTTTCAGTGATGAATCTGTTTTCAATCCATGATCAAACTAATCAATTTAAGTCCTCGTTATAAGTTTGCTCAAAAGTGATAATTCAGATATTTAGTGCTTCAGTTGCATTTCAATGCTTTAAATAAAAAAACAACTTTACATTAGGTCCTCCCTGAACTGTCACTCCCCAAAGACAGTTTTAATAAGGAGAAAATTTCAAAAGCATAAACATTTTGGGAGCCAATTTATGTACTTTAGAATTTTCAGTCAAACCAGAAAAACAGAGCTTTGCAAGAATTTCCTTGACTAATTTTTATGCCAGTTTAAGATCCAAGTGTCTGTGGTTTGCTGTTGTTCACTTAGTTGTGGGAGGGAGGGAGGGAAGGGGGAAGGGAAGGTGTTTGTTTATATTTTGTCTAAAGCTCTCAGATTTCCCAGAAAAATAAAAGCCCAGAGATTTGCAGACTTAATAAAATTTATTTAAATTTCATGCATTACGGTAGCTACAAGTGTAATCATATGAAACTGAAGGACAATAACTTGCGCTGTCCATACAATGTAGCCTTAAGTGAAATGAATGGGAATTCCACAGTTACAAAGAAACAAGAAGGATAAAACTCTTTAAAATTTTGAGTTCTGTAAACTGAAACAGTCATGTGACTGTCAGCTTCTGGGGAAGGCAAGGGCTCACCACTATTTAATTTTACGATTGCAAAATATTTAGTTTAAGGAAAAGTATTCTGAAGAAGCTCTGAAGTTAACCCTTTAAACTAATAATGGAAATTTCCATTAATACTTTGTATTTCTCTCATTTCCCATTCACCCTCTTTCACATCGTTCGAACCAGGATGGCAACAGGAGATAGTCCACTTTTACCTACAACTACGAAGGGTTTTAATATTTAGCTCCTT